TACATGTAGTGTCTCTAGCTGGGTGACTTTGGCCACTGAAGCCCAGTGGATTATTGATCTGTTCCCAGAAAGGGCTTTAATTCTAGCTACAGAAATTTTATACCTGGAAAGGACCCGTGCTTTGCACAGAGCCTGGCATGTGGTAATTTATAGTTAACACACTTCTTTAGTGATTTCTGTGTGCCAAGCACTTCTCTAAGTGCTTTACACTCATTCATTCATTTAATCTGCACAATACAGGCTTTCAATAAATGATGGATGAATGAATGATGAATGAAAATATAGTCTCCCATATTTTCACTAATAATAGCCCAGAGGAAAACAGAAAATATATCTAGTAATATACTGACTCCTCTCTGTAAAGCTTAAAAACAGGAGTATAAAGAGTATTCACAAAAATCCAGTGATGATGTGGGAGAGACAGGATTCATTTGAATAAATTCTTAGTGATGCACCTTAATATAAAGTTAGTTTTTAGTCACTAAGTGTGATATCTAATTTACCTTAGGCAGTAGTGTTACTCAAGATAAGCTGCCTAGGAAGGTTGGATAGATTCCAACGATCACCCCAAACCTTGTATGTTCTGTTGTAACTATTACTTGAAATAAAGTGATCCCAAGGTTAGTTTGAGAAATTATCAGTTAAATAAATTTCAATTGATAGCAGCAATATTTTTTGTTTGTTTTTGTCTTGTCTTGTTTTTTTTAACTGTTGGATTTCTCACTGATCCTGAGATGATAATATACATTATGGTACATGAAACTCTCTTTTACATGGAACACCTGTTGGGAGTAGAATCCCACAAAACTCATCCCCTCTGCTTTCTGGCTGGTTTGGGGGTCTGGTCCCATAGGTGCTGGGCTGTATCAGTAATGTAGAGATTCTTGGGAGAGAAAAGGAAGGAGAGGGAGGGCAGCCATCCTCATTTTTCTACTGTGCTATCCCCAATTTCAGGTATTTTACCAACTCAGCAAAGTATTTATTTAGTGGTGTCAGAGACTTCAAGGTATTCATACTCATTACATTTATGTTCAAAATAGAGTTCATTTTTTAGCTAGTAATTTTATAAATGTCAATCATTAGATTAATAAATTGGTGATTATCAAATAAATGCTTATTTATATATGGGATTTAAGTCACGTGTAGAACTTCCTTTTTGAAAGCTGATTACTGTAGCGTCCCTGTTGGTCCCATAAAATAAAACAAAACAAGCTGTTATACAAATGGTACCAAGGTTTTATAAAACTGATTAATTTTAGGTTTATGTTTACTTTATGTTAGCACTCAGGTAAATGTGGGTGCCTGCACTTGTGTCTGCTTTCTGATTCCCAACTTCCATATGGTTTGTTTGCCTCTTAAAAACTCCATTTTTCCTAAGCTTGGGCTCAGGTCTCTATTAAGTGTTGTGGCAGGGCCAAATCAGTGCATTTCAGACTCTTCCTTTATGGGAACACCTTTTATAACTTCTCCCATTCCATAACCTGACTGATGTGTATTGTCAATAAAACTTAATAATAATATTGTTATCCCAATTTGTGGGAAAAAATTTTAAAGTTCCTTGAATATAGCATCTATTCATACATCTCTTATATAAAGAAGTATTTAGTTAATGTTAAATTATATTTGCATTTAATCTAAGTTTAATATATTATTTTTTCATGCTATTCTGCAAAGAACACAGATGGCAGGGAAAAAGGATACCAACAATGTTTATAAAACTGTGTTTAAACCAGACACCGGGGCACATGCCTATAGTCCCAACTATTCGAGAGGCTGAAGTGGGAGGATTGTTTGAGCCCAAGAATTCAAGACTAGCCTGGGCTACATAATGAGACATTGTCTCAAAAACACAAATAAGCTATGTTTAGTTCATTTTTCTATTGCTTCTAACATTTATCACAATGACTTTGGGGTAGTAAAAGTTCCATGTGGAATTAGGAATGTCTTATTCACCTTGATATTCCCTGTTCCTAACAGAGTGTCTGACTTAGCAAATAGTATTTATTCAGTAGAACTGAATTTTTAAAAGCAAAAATATTTCTTTCTCTTTTGAGTCTCTTTATGGTTCTGGGCCTACAATTCTAGTATTTGTGGCTGTAAGTAGGCATAGATGAATATACTTCAGAACTTGAGGGATGCTTAGTGAATCTATTTATTTTAATAGAAAGATATTTTTATTTATATATGAACAAGTAGAAAATTGATATATATGTGTGTAGAGATCGGTAAATGTTGTCTATAACTTCCACAGTTCCAAAGCATTGGTGTATAATGGCTGGGCACATGTCTCCTCTGTTAGGTTTGGAGCTCTGTCAGGTCTCATGTTGTCCGCACATTGAATTCTTAGTCAGGAAAGATGATCAGATAATGGGTTCTAAGAAGAAAGTCCCATAAGACTTGAATAAATAAATAAGTAAAAATTCATTGGATAATTATATCTTCATTTGACATATTAAGTTAATTTTTCTACAAAAATCACAGTGTGACATGTCAGTCTGAGTCATGTCTGTAAAAGATAATCAATAAAAATCAGTTTATTATTCTGTAATTACATGTATCGATTGATGCCTTTTAAAATCCCTGAGCCATAGAGTAATGTTTCCCCAGTTGCCTTCTGTGGTAAATGACTGAATTAAATGGAAATGTAGCTAGGATGATGAAGGGTATTTATCCTGGCTATGAACATGTTATTTATTTTACTATCTGATAATTGTCACTTAGCTACATTTAAAATGATAGTCATGACTGTATTTCTACAAACTTCTGTCTTCAAATTGTTCATAAATAAATCCTGCAATTAATTCACTATTCCACATTGTTAATAGAAACATAGAAATTCTGAATTTAGAAGGATTTGTCTATCTACTCCTTATAGAGAAATCATTAATCTCCTGAATTTTATATATTAATATTTCATAATATCTTTATCACTTTTTTAAAAACACTCTTAGTGGGTTGGGCTTGCAGTTACTTCATACATTTGAATAAACATCTCACCTCTCTGAGCTCCTCCAACATATGGGTTTATATCCATTTATTTGGCATCTAATCATATGACCCCTAAAAAATTCATATTTAAATCTTTCCTTTGCATAAAGTTAAAAAATATTGTTTCTGACATTGTTTATAAATATTGTTAAGTATCATGCACTTAACATAGGGACAGATGTAATTTATTTAGAGAGTTAGGTCTAAACGATGTGGGATATAAATATATTTTGCTGCTTCTGGTGACTCACACCTATAATCCTAGCACTCTAGGAGGCCAAGGTGGGAGGATTGCTTGAGCTCAGGAGTTGAGACCAGCTTGAGCAAGAATCAGACCCTGTCTCTACTAAAACTAGAAAAATTAGTGAAGCATTGTACATGCTTGTAGTCCCAGCTACTTAGGAGGCTGAAGCAGGAGGTGAATCACTTGAGCCCAGGAGTTTGAGGTTGTAGAGAACTTGGATGATGCCACTGCACTCTACCTGGGACAACTGAGCCAGACTCTGTCTCAAAAACAAACAAACAAACAAAATACGTTTTGTCTGTTTGTGTGAAGCTTTGAAGTATCAAAACCCATTGATCATTGTCATAAACCTGAATCATCTCCCTCAGGAGGCTGAGTCAGGAGAGGGGATAAGGATCAAAGGGTAGATGGGAATGTTACTAGGGTAAATTTTTATTTAAGATTTAACAGTTAGTCTTTTTATTATTATTCACCAGCTAAATAAGATCAATATGCAAGCACAAAAGAGAGAATGTTATCAGTATTTCACGATGCTAGTTAGCATATCGTTTTAATTGTCGTGTGTATTACTGGCCAATAGTATAAGTGTGATATTATAGATAAATATAGTGGCTTTTTAAATTCAGAAGACTTGGCAGTAACTGATAAGAGTGTAAGGTTCTTAAGGGCAGTGTTTTCTTAGAGTTTTACCTGCTAACTAGGACATAATAAGAGAAAAGGGCCTCAGTAAATATTTGTTGAATGAGTGAATGTGTGAATATTTTCCTTTTTTGTGAATGCATTTTGTCTGATATATGAGGGGTATATACTTGAGGGATGCTTAGCAAATCTATTTATTTTAATACAGGCTATTTTTATTTGAACATGAGCAAGTAGACAGATAGGTTAATGTTGTCCATAACTTTCTCAATTCTGGGTTATTTGTTGGCATTCTTTTCTCTTTCTCCATAGAGCTTAGTGTAGTTACTTGTATGACAATACACTTAATCGACTCTAAGTTGCTCTTGTTTTTCAACCTTTAAACATCATTTGAGCATAAAAGAACCTCATATGTGTTTTCTCATTTAAACTGTTTCTTGCCATAAAATTGCATTTGTGACTAGTAATAAATACTGATAGTAGTAGACTAATTTGCTCATTGTGTAATTTGATAATTGTAACCTACTAAATTAAATGTTCATCCAAATTTTCCTTAATCACCAAACCTACTTATTTAAGCATCGAATTTGGTATTATTTAAGGTTCATTGTATGCCCATAAACTATTTTAGCCAAAAATTTATGACTGGGCACAATGGCTCATGCCTGTAATCCAAGTACTCTGGGAGGACCAGGCAGGAGGATAGCCTGAGTTTAGGAGTTCAAGACCAGCCTGAGCAAGAGTAAGAGCAAGATCCTGTCTCAACTAAAAATAGAAAAATTAGCCAGGAGCACTGGCATGTACCTGTCATCCCAACTACTCGGGAGGCTGAGGCAGAAGGATTGCTTGAGCCCAGGAGTTGGAGGTTGCAGTGAGCTATGATGACGCCACTGCACTCTACCCAGGGCAACAGAGTGAGAGTCTGTCTCAAAAAAAAAAAAAGAGAATATTGTGTGATTTTTGGTAAATTGGATAATATTTAGTAATTTGTGAATTTGAAAAATCAAGCTTCTTATGTAATATTTTTGACTTAGTGGTATGGAATAGAATATAACATTTTAATTTTAAAATGTCTTCTTGGAGATCTTGATTCAAATTGTAATCCTAGTTTTTCCTGCTCCTTCCATAGCTTCCTGCAGATTTCACAAAACTACACCTTACTGACAGTCTCCACCCACAGGTGACCCACGTTTCTTCTAGCCATTCAGGATGTAGTATCACTAGTGATTCTGGAAGCAGCAGTCTTTCTGATATCTACCAGGTAAGAAGGAGTTTTTCTTGTCGTTTGCTTCATTTTCATGTATTCTGAGGAGTTTTACTGTTCTCAGTTAATATTAATAGAATCTGTAAATTAAATACTTGCGTGTATATGTGCATATATGTACATAGAACATTAATGTTTATGCTTCTCACAGACAGCATATTACATGTGTGTTTGTTTTAGGATGTAGAACTACTGCCTAATTGTGCTTGCCTCTGCTATTACCAGTTATCAGAATGTTAAATAGAGTGGTTGGAATGGAATCATTTGTCTTGACTTTAAATATTTTATTCATTTGACTGTAGGTATAGTACATTTATGACTCTTTCTTGACTAAAAACCATAGGGGGAAACTGCAGAGTTGGCTTTTATATTAAGTTTTTCTTATTAAAGTCCATATTGAGTATGACAAAAGGGATTATTAAGATTGGATCATTGAATTATATTTCTTTTATTTTAAAAAATTACCCATAGATTTAGTGATGTGTTTAAGATAAAAATCTTATGGTACCACTGAATGGAAAATAAGCTAGAATTATGGGATTCCAAACATGTTTTTAAAACAAAATAATCTTAATTGTTAAGGAATAGTTTATTGCCTTAGAATATGCAAATTTAGGGAAAGCGACTAAAATATGCAAAAGAAATCCTCTTTTCAAATACATTCTAATAATATTTGATTTTAGATGGTTTGAAACAAAAGAACATTATATTCACAAAGTATAGTTCTTGGCTCCTTAGAAATTGTGACATGAAGTGACCATAAAAAGTACCTTTTTTTAAGGAACATTATAGTTATGAAGGATCATTGGTATATTTAGACAGTGCTAAGTTTCTATTTTTTTTTAATTACTAAAAGTAAGTGAACAATTAGAATACCATAAATATAAGACATATTTGTTTAAGTTTTAAATTTAGTAGATCTTAGAAAATAAATTTTCTTTTAAAGAGATAGTTCATTGGGTACACACTTTTCTCAATTTACCTGCCCCCCCACCCCAAACCATTTATTTCTAGAAGTTGCTTTTTTAAAAAAACATTTAAACATCAAGAGTTCCCTTACATGGAACAGTGAACAGTATACATAAAAGCTGTGCTTAAGCTTATATTAATTGAAATATCATGGAAGAGCCCTTGTCCTCTAAATCTTGAGATGATTTTACACATTTTGACGATCTCTAACAGGAATACAGCTTGAGGTTATAGCAGTTATTACTGTTTTCTTCAAGTATATACGAACTTGAATTTCTAAAAGATAAATTTATAATAAGAATGAAATAATTTGTTTATATAATTTATTGAGGCCTGTTCTGAGGGGGATTTTAGCCAAATGTGCTATTGCCTTGAGTGAGCTGGATGCAATCATGAGGAAATTCCTGATGGTGTGTCTGTCCCTAGCTATCATCCAAATGCCTGAGTGGGTGAGAGTTCTTAATTGCTCTGGCACAGTTGGCGCTTACAGTCTGCAGTCTGACTTTATCTTGGTATTAGAGAAAAAGGAGGGTCCCTGTGTATCATTTTGATTCATTTGGTTGAGTTTCAAAGCTATTTGCTTCAAACTTGATGACAAGCATGTAGCCTGGAAGTTTATATTTGTCATAAGGAAAAATCCATAGCTGGATCTAAGGATTTGGCTATTAGCTATGCAAAACATAACATTTAATATTCTCAACAGACCCTTTCTGTTATCTTTACATCAGAACTTCTTAAGGTGAGAAGAAGCCTGACATCTAATTGGTCCAACTCCCAGTCTTGTATTGAATCCTATCCATCAAGCATCCAGTTACTCTTGAACAGTTCCAGGGATGAGCAACTATCTCTCATGGCAGCCCATTTAATCTTTGTACCACTCTGACTTAGGGAATCTTTTCTTTTTTTGTTGAAAGCTGTCACATTGAAGTGAGTGTAAATGCTCACCAGATGGGCACAGAGAGGTTGAAATTGAACGCTGTGAACAAGGGAGAAATGGGTAGAATAGTGTTGCTGCTGTGGTGGAAGGAGAGAAATTTCAGAGAAATTGAAATGACTAGCCTTAGGAGAAGAAACCCTCCTCTGGTTCAACAGGGACACCTCCTGGTGGGTTTGGAGGGGCAGTTTGGGAGTTGAGGGAGTTCCTTTCTTAAACTTCTGTTTTCTCTCTGCAGAGTTGAGTTCATTTGTTGAGAGTGAGAGAGTTGGTGGGTAGAGAGTTTTAAGGAGAGATAAATTTTGAAATAATAGTTGCAGAGAGCTTAGGAGAGCAAAGTGATCAGAGAAATGGAGACTCAGTTGAGTTGGTACCTTTAAATATAAAATGATTTCCCTTTACCCTGGTAAGCAATTTTCTCCACAGTTAGCACAAAGATTTGGCTTCATCCAGGATGAAGTTTTGCTAAATGAGTGTAATACTTTTTTTTAAACTATTTTTTTTTAACTTTTTCTAACTACAGAACCTTGCTTGTGCCTGCCTTCTGGCTGGAATGTTTTCTCCTAGCTTGATCCTTTTCTGCCTTCATTTTCAAGCATAAGCACTCCTTAGGGAGTGTTTCCTTAATAATCCTCTGTAAAGGAGGGCCTACATTTTGGTTTCTTTCCTGGCCCAGTCCTTTTATTTCCTTCCTAGACCCTAAGTGAAATAAACATTGCTTTCTATGTTGCCTGTCTGCCTACTAGAATAACAGCTTCAAGAAGTCAGGGAACTTGTCTGTCTCGTCTCCATTTTCTCTCTAGAGCCTTAGTACAGTGCTAGGAGATCATAGGCATTCAGTGAAGATGTGTTGAATGAATGTAATTGAAATAATAGAATAGGAAATATAAGCAGAATATGAAAGGAAGTTAAGATGGGAAATCTGAATGCTAGACACAGAGGTAGTAGAGTCTTGAAGACTAAAGATCCTCCTTAAGTTGAAAGTTTTCTTGGAAGCAGATGGGAGCAAACTGAAGTAATAGGTTATTGGTGACAGAAAGCAGAATGCCTACTAAGTTAGTGATATGAGGCAATGCCATGTCCATCCATGATGAGGTCCTGGCTAAATAAATGACATGACTGTAAGAGCAAATGGCTTAGGCAGACTGGAAATAGTTGTACAAAAATAGATAGATCAATAAAACGGAGTTCAAGCAAAATGGAACTCATGTGTAAGGGCAATATATGTAAGAGAGAAAACCTCACAAATCAGTGAAGAAAGCGATAGATTATTCAGTTAAGTTGTTTTTAGGGTGTGGGAGTCATTTTATATTCTCACTTTGTATCATAATTAAAATAAGTTCCAGATAAACTAAAGAGTTAGCAAACCCTTAATGTGGTAATGAATGATCAAAACATTTAATAATTAAAATGTCAATTGATATGAAGACTTAAAGTCAAAATATAACTGGTTTATGCAAATTAATAAGAAAAATACTCAGCTCACAGTATAAAAATGTTCAAAGGACAAAAGTCGGTCATTTACAGAAAAGAAAATGCAAATATCTCTACCTTACATAAAATATTTGAAACCTATTAATAATTGACTATATGAAGATTTAAATATGGGACTATTTTGCCTATCAAATTAACATAGATTTTCTTAAATATTTATAGATATTTTTATACATTCCTTATAGGATTATAAATTTAGGAAAGCAACCTAATAATTTACATTAAGAGCTTTAAAAAATTGTCCCTCTCTTTTAGGTGTATGTGTATATATACGTTGTGTGTATTTAAAAGCATATATTGAAATAAAAAATATTAACAGTGTAAAACTAGGAACAACATAAATTATATACAAACCAGACTTCATGCAAAAATTGTATTTCTAAATATATTTTATACGATCCATATATATATGATTTTATGTGATGTTCCTTCTCTGTTATCTCACTTAAATTAGCATTCAGTATTACTTTCTAGCCTAAATTTATATGAATCTAGTTTAAGTGCTGTTTGGGTTAAATACATATGTTTGAGATTCTGTAAATTTTATTTACATCAAAGATAATTTATTAAAGTCTGGACATGGTGCCTGATGCTTGTAATCCCAGCACTTTAGGAGGCCGAGGCAGGAGTACAGCATGAGGCCAGGAGTTCGAGACCAGCCTGGGCAACATAGGGCGGGAGACCCCATCTCTACAAAAAATTTAAAAATTAACTAGGTGTTATAACGCATGCTTGTAGTCCCAGCTACTTTGAGACTAAGGTGGGAGGATCGCTTGAGCCCAGGAGTTCAAGATTTCAGTGAGCTATGATCACATCACTGCCCTCCAGCCTGGGTGAACAGAGCAAGACCCAGTCTCGGGGGAAAAAGATATTTCTTAAGCAATCCTCTTAAAATGTCTATATGTGTGAGATATTTAATACACAAAACTTTTTTGCAAATGATTTTAAAGTGCTTAATAAAATATGTGCAGTATTTTATTTTTAATTAAGTTTAACCTTTCACTGGAGCTATATGGCATTTAAAATTATTTTAGTTTGTTCATTTTCTTGACATCATTTAAAAAAGTCAAAATAAACTGGTTTTAAGAAATATATTCACTATAAAAGAATATATTTAGTCTGTTTTTATTTAAATCATAGATCTTTCAGCATTGATCTGAGAATATTATTATTTTTAAAGAATAACGGGCTGGGCATGGTGGCTCACGCCTGTAATCCTAGCACTCTGGGAGGCCGAGGCGGGCGGATTGCTCAAGGTCAGGAGTTCAAAACCAGCCTAAGCAAGAGCGAGACCCCATCTCTACTATAAATAGAAAGAAATTAATTGGCCAACTAATATATATAGAAAAAATTAGCCGGGCATCGGGAGGCTGAGGCAGGAGGATAGCTTGAGCCCAGGAGTTTGAGGTTGCTGTGAGCTAGGCTGACGCCATGGCACTCACTCTAGCCTGGGCAACAAAGCAAGACTCTGTCTCAAAAAAAAAAAAAAAATTACTATTTAAATGTTAATGGACAACTAAATTTATGTTAGGCTGTACATGTATAGGGTAAATTAATTTAGGACAGGAGTTATTTGCCTAACTGGAATATGTAAGCCTTT